GGGAAACATCATCCTCGGATTGTAGTTCCTTCTACAAGTCTGTCTACGGGCGAACCTCTGCAATGATGAGAATCTGAACGGACTCTTCAAGAGTATGAACCACTTTGTAAAGCTCCCTATGGAACCTGTCTATATAAGATTGGAGGGATTCATCCCTCTCTTGCTGTATATTGCTCAGATAGCTTAGCGGCATTGAAAACTTCCTGTTCGCCTGGAAGTGCCTCAAAAATGTTGAGCTCATTTAAGACCATGGGCTGACTGATCCTGCTAGAAGCGACCTGAACAAGTGCTTGGAATAGGCAATTAGGGTTACTGCCAAGCAACGATATTTTGCCAAGTCAGAGACTTGGTGGAGTTCCATGAGATCGTTAAACTAGTATAAATGATCCTATTGATCAGAATTCCCATCGAATGCTCTCATGTCGGGCATTCTGAATCTTGATAGGAGATGAGCAACTAACATTGTTAGAGAAAAGGGAGATGCCTCTACGATCTGCCCTTGCTCATTCTGTTGAGCCTTGAGCTAATCTAGAGCTCGCTGTAGTTCCTCAATCTGAGGCAACGGAGCTACCTGGGAATCACTTTCCACAACGTGGGTTTGACCTTCACGGTTGCAATTGAGGAAAGATCACAAATCGGACTTTTCCTCACCTCGGCCTGAAACTCCGGTAAACCTTGACACACACTAGCTGGAGCCGTGTGATGACATTGAGTGATTTGGGGAGTCTTCCCGATCTCCGTAGTGGTACGAACCGACTTGCAGACGATGGGAATCCCCTGCACGACGACGATCGAAGTCGTCATTTTGGCGATATTGGGAATCTCCCCACCTTGCACTTTTATGGGAGTGCTCGTGCGATGTGGTGTGGGAGGGCTCATGCTATGACATGTCGTCGAGTCGCAATACCACGAGTATTCTACTCGGGGCGCGATCGGTGTTCGCTGGTCCCTCGGAGCCATTTGGCCCGTTTTGCACCACTTGGTTTCCCTTTCTCCAACGCGCTGCAGTGCGTGTAGTATGGACTTTCGCCATTTTCCATGCTTTCACATGACCTATAGGCGTTTTTGGCGGTGGCACCGCCTCATTGGATTCAGGTGGCATGACCCGATCTAATCGGTCTAGCCTTTGGCTAATTGTTTGGAGAGTATTATTGAACCTCTTTAGGTAACTCATGGCGGCTAGATCGAGTTGCGACCTTGAAGGAATATCCCCCATGATATTCTGTTGGACTAGCGGCACTTCGGGAGAAGTGTACTCATCTATTTGGGGGATCTCTTCATTGCCATAATTGGTTCGCTCAGATTCGAAACCGCGAGCCATTTTTTATTGTGGGACCGATTAGTCAGAGATTTTCTGCTGAAGAGCAGATACTAAATCACGCCCTCCTTCTAGCGCCAAACTGTTGATGCTTGATTTTGACACCAACTACTCGCACGTGTAAAATATTAAGCGGACTTAAAAGTCACACGTGATATGGGGATATTAAATTAAATAATGGGTGAAAAGCAATATTTAAAGTGGTTCGGATGCTCAAAAGCGAATCCTACGTCCACTGTTATTGTATTAGTAAGAGAGTAAAGTTAAGTCGCGTTCAGCGAGTTGAGTTACAGTTTAGAGAGAATACAGAGAGAGAGAGAGAGAGAGAGAGAGAGTAAGCTAATTCAAATTAAAATGAGCCAATCTTGTAAATGAGAGGGAAGACCTCTATTTATAGTGGAAGAGTTCAAGGTAATGATTACAAAATCTGCAAGTGGGTAGGTGTCGTGCAAATCCTTCTTTGCGTCCCATTGGTTATCTGCCCGAGGGATTTCCTCGACCTGTGCAGTGTTTGGATAGGTGGGCAATTTCCAACCGCTTGCTAGCCTGGCACTCATCTACTGTGCCGACAAGAGGCATGCCACTTACACCATTGCGCGATGTTACTCCACCTGGATGGCACAGAACCTTCATGAGCTCTGCATATAAATTCAATATCTAACGTCACAGGCGTCAAGGTAATGGTATTCCTCCGACGCAGGAAATTTGCGTCGAGGAATTACAATAAATATCCATACGCTGATGTCATGTATGACGTCGAGAGTTTGGACAGATAAAATCTGGCGCTACTAGCGCCGGAAAGCCTGTCTCCACTGGGGCTGACGCCGGACTGCATCGGTGTAGTAAATGTTACAGTTTTTAAGATTTGATATAGATTATTTGGATTATTTCCAGTTATACAGCCGCTTGCCACCGTCTGGAAACACCGAAGTTGACTATGCTGCACAGATTGCAAATTGGCTATCCTCAAGGCTCGAATCAGTTCGTCCGGAGAATATTAAACCCAACCTAAACAATCTTGTTCTTTCAGGCCACATTTGAGGAGGACAAACAGCATTTGCTCTCGCACTCGGATACGCCAAAACTCCCCCTCAATTTTCAGTAATAATCGGCATTGACCCCGTCGCCGGGATATCAAAATGCACTTCACTCAATTCACCTCTCCTCTCCTATGACTCGTTCAACTTCTTGTCTTCCTCGATGCCCGTCACCGTGATCAGAACCAGACTGGGTGGCATAACAAAGTGTGTGGGGCTGCCCTGCTCATTGGAAGGAGCCAACCACGTGGAGTTTTATAACAGATGTAAATCTACTTGAGCTCATTTTGTTGCTACAGATTACGGCCACATGGACATGTTAGATGATTGTCCGGCGGATTTTGGTTCCTGGGTAATGTCAAAGCATTTGTGCACAAACGGAAAGTGTTCAAGGGATCCAATGAGGAGATGTGTTGGTGGAATTATGGTGGCGTTCTTGAAGAAATTTGTTGATTTGGACAGTAGTGATGATGAATTTACTAAGATTGTGAAAAATCACTATGTGGCTCCTATAAGGCTTGATCCAATGAAGTTTAACGGATAAAATCTTGCATGTCCGAGTTCATTGATCCATCTATTATACAACATATGTACTATTCGAGAGTTTACCGTTGGTTGTATGTTGACGTCATTTAATAACAACCAACCAGATTACTCTTTCCACCAATTGATATATTATTTTTCAACAATGCTAGATCCAATATGTTCTCTCGCAACTTTCGACATGATAACTCGTTATTGGTTAGCTCGTAAATGGGTAATCAGGACCCATACAAGTAGGTGAGACCTATTTTGTGAATTGACCAATGACGAACTGCCACATCGGAGGTTGTGAGATTGGGTTGTGGACCTAACATTACTCTAATTATTATCATTAAAGTTTTAGAGTAATGTTAGGTCCACAACCCTCGACGTGGCATTTCGTAATTCTTCAACTCGCAAAATGGGTTATGCTTGTCCATTGCAAGTTAATCAATGATGAGCTGTCACGTCGATGATTGTGAGAGAAGATTGTGGACATATCATTATTGAAAATTTTAAATTAATAACTACCAACCACATTCATGATAAAGATATATAAGAGAAAAGACAAAAATAGAGTTACATTTTGATAATAATTTTCAACTTTTCCTATATATGGTTGCTGAGGTTGGAATCGGCCTTTAGTGGAAGCTATTGGCTCGATTATGGGTTTTATAAGGGTAAAACGGTTATTTTCAAATTTAACATAATTTCATTAAAATATTTTGCTAAATTTTAATATTTTATTTTTTATTTTTCTTACAAGTATTGAGATGGGTAATTTCTCTTATGATAAAGTTAGGAGTAAACACTTAAAAGATAATCTCCACCACAGACACAGTTACAAAGAGTGTGGTGTCGGTTAAATGAATCAAACAGAAAAATATATATGATGTTATCTGCCAGCTTGAAACTTGGAAAGATGGATAATGTTACCTTTTTTTTTTTTTTTTTTTTTTAGTATTAAAAACAAAGAGCAATAGGTTTTTTTGGGTGGGACAAAGGTGAAGAGGAGATTATTAAAGCTTACATATATGTATGTTAAATTTGAACGATAGTTGATAAAGTGTAGTTCATTGTAGGAAAGAAAAAATATACCTTTTTGACTCCTTAGTCCTTACTAGGCTTCTCTGTAATAATAAAGATATTGTAATTTAGGTCCTTACTAGGCTTCTCTGTAATAATAAAGATATTGTAATTTAGTTTCTGTATTTTTTAATAAGGAAATAAAAGGATTAGTTCATTCGAGAATTTGATTAACCATTAAAGATTGAAAAGCTTACATTATATATGCATGCATGATTCACATTATGGAACATAACTAGCTTCAAGCTCAAGTTAATTTACTGGGTCCAATACCAAAAATCTTGGCCACTAATCACTTTATATTATGCTTTCTTCTTCTTCTTCTATTTTTTTTTTTTTTTTTTTTTTGGGTAATCGAAGTGTTCGGGCTACGCTTGCGTGCACCTCAATTCATCTCTTGGGGTCAATTGAACACCCTACAAGCCTAAAGGTCCAGATAAGCCGAAAAGGGTTCATAGAATATCCTACAAGTCTAAAGAACCAAGTAAGCTGAAATGTTATTTATATTATCCTTTTTTTTTTTTTTTTTTTTTTTTTTTGGTAACTAGGGTGTCCCGCTAACTTGTATACCCCTTAACTAATTTCGTAGAGTCTATTGAACATCCTACAAATCCAAAAGAATAGACAAGCACAATGTTATTATCGTAGGTGGCTTCAAGATTTAACCTAGGAACTCAAGAAATAGAGCAAATCTCCTTAACCGCTAGACGAATCCCTTCGATTATATTATCCTTTATTTTAATATATTATTCAGTCACAAATTTTTAAATATACCAAAAATCTTCTTTTTTATCTTTATCTTTATTTTTTTCTCTCTTTTTTTTAATATATTTTTTTTTTTTCCAATTGTACAGTCACTAAGATTGTAGAATAAAATGATACTTACTAGTACTTGGTGGCTGCTACTTCAAATCAATATTGTAATTCTTCTTCTTCTTCTTCTTCTTCTTCTTCGTCTTCGTAGCTCTTTAATTTAAAGTCTAGCAAGAGCAGTAACGGGTTCACCAATGCCGAAAAATGATATATTAAGAAAAAATTGTTCAGATTTGCCATGAAAAGTAACTGGGATGACGTTATTGACATATACCAGAGGGATCCAAGTTTTCACATGGAGAAGATCACCAAGTCAGGGCAGACAGCATTACACATCGCTGTTTCTGATGTCCAAGAACAAAAGGTTGCAAAGCTTGTGGATATTATCATTAAACACCCAACCAAAACGGATGAATCAACAATAGCTGATCATCATAAGACTGCAGCTTCAAAAATAGACAAGGCTGAAGCAAGATTTCCAGCATTGGCAGTTGAAGATGACAGAGGGAACACCCCTCTTCATATTGCAGCTTCGCTGGGGAGTGCAAAGATGTGCGAATGCATAGCTTGGGCGAACAAGGACTCATCATTAGAGTTGATTGGTGCTCGTAACCATGACGGTGAGACTCCTTTCTTCTTGGCTGCTCTTCATGGTCACAAAGACGCCTTCCTTCGACTCCATTCTATTATTATTTCTAATCCAAATAGCTCAGGCTATGAGTACTGCAGAAAAAACGACGGCGATACTATTCTTCACTCTGCCATCTCTGGAGACTACTTCGGTATGTACAGACCTATATATATATATATATATATATATATATATGAACAGAATAATTCTACCATGCAAATATTACTTATTCAACCTGATTTTATTTTATTATTGCTTTGATATGTAGATTTGGCATTTCAAATTATTCATCTGTATAAACGCTTGGCAAACTATGTCAACGAACAAGGATTGACCCCTCTTCATATCCTACTGTTGATGCGTGATTTTGACACCAACCAAATACACGTGTGAAATGCTGAGCTGGCCCAGAAGACATGCGGGTGAAAGAATGAGTAAAAACAATAGGGAACAGCGTTTAAAGTGGTTCGGATGCTAAGGAAGCAAATCATACGTCCACTGATTTTGTATTAATAGTAAAGGTCAGGTCGTGTTCAGCAGACTGACTTACAAATGATTATACAAGAGAGAGATTGCTATTTTTCTTTTGAGAGATTAGCTAATCCTTTAAATGAGAGAGGAGCTCTCAATTTATAGTGGGATGAATTAAGGTTATCATTACTAAATCTGTGAATTGGTGGGATTATCCGTGCAAATCATTCTTTATGTCCCATTGCCCACTTTCTAGAGTGATTTATGCGATTTGGTGCAGGGATTGGACACGTGGAATCATTATAGCTCTTGACTGGTCTGACGCGCACCCACTGCCCTAACAGAAGCATGTCACCCCTGTCATTGTATGACGTGGCTGCCTCAACTGAGTGGCTGCGGGCCTAACTAAGCTCTGACTTTTTATGCTGACTGGGTCTTGCGTCAGCTCTACTTTTTCAGGCATTCCCCTAGTTTTTAAGGTTCGAGGATCAAACCTTGAAAACTATAATTCATGCTGTGACAAGATGCCTTCGAGGAAACTTTGGTGATTCCGACCTGTATGAAAAGAGGTCGAGACAGCGCTTGTGCGTGTGCGTGTGCGACCCAATAGTCTTTGCTTAAAGATGAACGACCTGATCTTAGACCGTACCAGTGCTTTGATTTCGATTTTCCGAAGTTCACGACCTGATTATACTTGGAATTCTCTTCTGGACAAGGGATTGGGTTGTTTCAGAACTAAATACTCATCGAGAGTCATGTCGCTTCGCGACCAATAGGGTAGAATAGAAGAGTCACGTTGCTTCGTGACTGACTAGACGAAGAGTGTTCTACGTAACGATCTCTTCAGACGTTACCTGTTGCATTTTCGTAACGGATACATTTAATGAAACGCCTTCTGCTCTGACAGACGTGTCCTGTGCACAATTAATGCCAGCCATGCGCATTAAATGCGTGACATGCTAAAACGTTATACTCCATTAGAGCATTAAATGCAGATTGGGGCACATTTAATGCGGCAGGAGAATCGTGCCGTGGTTTGGGTTTTTCAATGGAGAAGGATGACGATTTGGTTTTCTTGGAGCATGACGGTCACCCGTTCCTATGGATGCGCGACACGTGGTCGCGATCAACAAGAGGAACATTTTTTCGCCCAAACGTTGCTTGATTTCAGGAAAACCAAGTGCCAATTCTTTTGCTATAAAACCCAGGTTCGTTTCAGGCAATGTTAACACACTCATCTTTTCAGAGAGAGCAAGAGACTTTTGCAAACTTGGATTCTTTGCCTTCCAAGCCAGCGCGTACCTGATATTCGAAGCAGAAGGATCCATCTTCACACTCCAAGAGGTAAGAATCGTTTTCTGTTTTTATTTCTCACTCCCAGTAGTTGATAAATGATTGCTTCTTTGGTAGTTGATCGGAGATGAAATGTTCTTACTAGGTTCGAGCCATGAATGGCGGCTCGAATCATTCTGTTAGGGTTTTTCTGGGATTTAGGAGGGGAAGTGTTTGCTTTCTTCCAAGTCATCGTACGAAATGGTGTACGAGGGCTAAAAAGATTCCCTGCTTGTCACTTTTGCAAACTGCAGTAGAATGGACCCCTCAACAATCAGATCCGAGGAAAGGACCAGTTCGTCCACGCAAGATTTTCCTGTGAGTCCCACCCAAGAGATCTTCTCGATACTTACTGAGGATGAGCTCGATAGGGTGATAGACCAATATGGTATCCGCGAGGATGTTTTTCGTGATAAGACGCTCACAGCTCGGCATCCGCCACGTGGGTTGGCCGCGATCTCCAAGGAAATCTTCAAGGGTGGGGGGTTGATCCCTTTCTACCCTTTTGTCAGATTGGTCCTGGATCATTTCAGGATCGCACCGATGCAACTCATGCCGAACTCGTACATAATTGCGGTTGCCATATACATCACGTGTCTCGAGAACTGGTTGGGCGAGCTAACCACAGTAGAACTCGGTTTCTCGTACATCCTAAAAAAGAGCAAGGACAAGGACTCCTACTACTTGTCCAGGCGACCTACTATCGCAGCAGGAATACACAGTTACCCTAGCAACGCAGGGGTTTATGAGATGAAGTTTTTCTTTTTTCGTTACGACGACCTCTGCCGCTTCCAGGACCCAAGTAGGTTCTTTTCCCTTAACGAGCTCATTGACTTTGTTTTTCTTACTAACGAACTATTTATTTTTCTGACAGTTAACAAAACGACTAGTTTGGAGCTGCTCGCGGATCCAGACAGAATCGTAGCCTTCTATTTCTTGTCCGAAGCGAGTCACGATGCAAAGCTGCTCATGACAACCGCGAATCTGCGGAGGTACGGCTTCTTCAACGTAGACGCGACCTTAGAGCCTCCATCGAGTAAGTTACGTTAACTAGATCCTTTTTTATTGCACAATGAACTATTTTTTTTTTTTTTTTTTTACTAACAACGTTCATATGCAGCAACCATGCCTCCGAAGATGCCAGGGTCGCCACGACGAAAGAAGTTTTCTTTCCCTCGAGCGAGGATCGCTAGGATGACCGAAGCTGCTCCTAGTGGCTCCCCAGTCGAAAGGGCAACATCGGGGTCTGCACGTCCTACTGAGGCTCCCTAGCCTTGGGCGGGCGCCTCGATCCAACCTACGGGCGCTTCCTAGCCCTCGATTGCTCGTCCAAAGCAAAAGACAACAGCTCAACGACCCAGGAAGAGGCGACAAATTCGGGTCGAAGAGTCAGAGTGCGAACCGGAGGATCTAGGCGTTCAGCCTGGGAGGTCGCAGCCAAGCATTCCCACTGCTTTGGGAGCATCCCGAGCAGGGCAAAGCAAGGTCGCAGGCACTGAAAAGAGGTCGGGTAAGGAGCCGATGGGCGACACTCCTGCCAGAGGTACCGACAAGGATACTCCAGTGTTGGACTCGATGGGACAATTGCCAAATCATTTGCAGCCGGCGGTCTTCGCCTTGCTGGAGTGCGAACTCGCGGAAGTATTTGAAGAGTTCATGGGTTCTGACCATGTGGACCTGATGTCCACATCAATCCAGCACATACGCAAGGTAAAACGAATTGTTCTCAGCGAGGACTGCCTTTTTGTTCTTGGTAGGAAACTGACATTCCTCTTGTTCGTAGACTCTGCATGCAACTATCCCCGCAAAAGGTTCGGCTAGGAGCTGCTGCAAGAGAGGTCGCACTGAAAGAAGAGAATACGAAGCTCAAACAGGACTTGGAAGCTACCGAAGCAGAAAATAGGCTATCCACTAAATTGGTGGTTCGATACCTGAACGAAAGGGATGCGGCTCTTTGCATGGTGGATTTTCAAAAGGCCGAGCTTGAGAAGCACGGGGAGGAGATAAAGGAACTCCAGAGAACTATAGCCAGGCTCTCCAGGGAAGTCGACAAGAAAGATCAAGAGCTCAAAACGACCTCTCAACGGGCTTTACGAGCAGAGCAGGAGAGGGAGGTCTCAGAGAAGCAAAGGCAGGCTCTTGATGCCGAACTCCAAGCGAGTCAGAGAAAAATTACTTCGCTGACTGAAGAGATGCAGAACCAAGCAGAGGAGATTGAGGCAAAGGCTGCTGAATGGGCGATCGAGTCTATCTATGCCTTGCGACTGAAGAATCCGCAGATTGATATGTTCGACCTCTCGGAGGATTGGCGGGAAACTCTAATTTCCATGGCGCAGCGCGAGGATGAGGAAGCAGCAGAGGCTGCCCGAGGATTTGATAAAGGAGATGCTTAGGGACACGCCCCTAAGGAACCTACAACCGACCAGGCGGATGGCAACCAGCCTTGAGATGACAAGGTTGATCCTCTAGGAGTCGAGAATCAGGACCGATAATTGTAATTTGTTTTTGCTATCTTGTCTTGTTCGCTGTACTTATTAATGAAATGCATCTTAATCTCTAGAGCACTTAATCTGTACCCTACGAGATCGTATTCTAACCATTTATAACATTAGAACAAGTCTATGCGAACATAATTATAATATGTATATACGAGCAGAATTACATGAGGATTATTACAAAAGAACAGGATAATATACTTGTTATTTACATTTACAAAGATTGCAAAAAATAAAATCTTTATAAGAAAAAACTGAGTTCGGAATTACTGATAATATGATCGGAAATGTTCAGCATTCCAAGCTCGGGGTACTTTTAAACCATTTAGCCTTTTGAGATGATAAGTCCCTGGTCTTATCACTTCGGCAATGCGGTAGGGGCCTTCCCAGTTCAATCCTAAGACTCCCGCGCTTGGTTCTCTGGTACTGAGAAGAACATCCTTCAAAACAAAGTCGCCGACCCGGAAGTCTCTTCTCCTAACCTTAGAGTCGAAGAACCTCTTCGCGCGTTGCTGATAGGCTGCTATATTTAGCTGAGCCTTGCTGCAATGTTCTTCAATTAGGCCAAGACTTGCGCGTATAAGCGCTTCATTGTCGGCTTTGTTATACAGGTCCCTCCGAAGTGAACCGGTTCCTACCTCCACAGGGATCATCGCTTCGCAGCCATATGCTAGCGAAAAAGTGGTTTCTGAGGTAAAGGTTCTTGGAGTTGTCCTGTAGACCCACAGAACTTCGAGGAGGTCGTCGGCCCAATTTCCCTTGGCTGCGCCAAGCTTTGCCTTCAGGGTGTGCTTGATGGTTTTGTTGACAGCTTCAACTTGACCGTTTGCTTGCGGCCTTGCAACTGAGGCAAATTTTTTATGAATACCCAACCCGTCGCAAAACTGCTTGAACTCCTCGTTGTCGAATTGTTTTCCATTGTCCGAGATAAGAGTATAAGGAATCCCATAGCGGCACACAATGTTCTTGAAGATAAAATCCTTGAGCTTTCTAGTCGTGATCACAGCTAACGGTTCTGCTTCGACCCACTTGGTGAAGTAATCCACATCGACCACAACATACTTTACTCCCCCTTTACCAACTAGCATGGGATCGATGAGATCGATTCCCCACATGGAGAATGGCCAAAGGCTGGTCATGGTTATCAACTGGTGGGAAGGAGCTCGCAATATGTTTGCGAACCACTGGCACTTGTCACACCTTTTGACAAAGTTGTAGGTGTCTTCTTGAATTAGGGGCCAGTAGTACCCTTGACAAATAACTTTGTCGGCAAAAGATCGTGTAGTGGTGTGATTATCGCAGATCTCTTCATGTATCTCCCTCATGATGTAATGTGCCTCTTCGCTAGTTACACATCGGAGGAGAAGGGCACTAAACTCTCGCCTATACAGCTGGTATCTGATGAGGGTGTAATGAGCAGATTTTGTTCGCAGAGTCCTTGCCTCGACCTTGTCATTAGGCAAGGTCCCGTCCCTGAGATATTGAATGATAGGGGTCATCCAGGAATCTGATTCTATTACATTCACAGCCTGTTCGATCGGGCTGATACTGGGGGTCTCGATGAATCAAACAAGAATACTTTTTGGTGCATCTGAGTCCAATGACGAGGTTATCCTTGCCAAGGCATCTACCACAGAGTTGCTATCTCTAGGAATCTATGTGATCGTGAAGTGCTTGAATGGCTCGAGCGCGGCCTTAGCCTTCTTCAGGTAGCTGATCATATTTTCTTCCTTGGCTTGGTACTCCCCTAAAATCTGGTTAACGACCAGCATGGAGTCGCTATGGATACTGATCACGGTTGCGCCTATTTCTCTGGCCAACCGTAGTCCAACGAGCAGAGCTTTATACTCGGCCTCATTATTGGTTACCTTAAAACCGAACCGGAGAATGCCATGAATGCGAGCCCCTTCAGGGCTCAAAAGGAGAAGACCTGCCCCGACCCTCTTTCTGTTCGATGATCCATCGACTTAGAGGCTCCAGGTCGATAGATTTTGAGCAGTTTCCTGAATGACTTTGCTGGGCTGTTGCTTCGACTCATCTATTAGATGATATGAGAATTCGGATATGAAGTCGGCAACAGCCTGCCCTTTGATAGTTGATTTCGGTCTGTACTTCAGATCGAACTGACTTAATTCCATGGCCCATTTAAGTAATTTACCCGATGCCTCCGGCTTCTGGAGGACCTGCCTGAGTGGGTAATTAGTCATTACGTGGATCGTATGGGCGTGGAAGTAAGGTCGCAACTTGCTGGAAGCGATTAGCAGGGCATAGGCTAACTGTTCCATTTTTGGATACCACATCTCGGCATCTAAAAAACGTTTGCTTGTGTAATACACCGGCTATTGGACCCTATCATCTTCCCGAATTAAGGCTGCACTGACCGCGAACCGAGAGACGGACAGATACAGGAGGAGGATCTCTTGCGGGAGAGGTTTAGATAGAAGAGGTGGCTTCCCGAGGTGTTCTTTAATACTCTGGAATGTCTGTTCGCACTCGGAAGTCCACTCAAACTTTTTATTGGCCCTTAGAACATTGAAGAATGGCAAGCAGTGATCTGTTGCCCTCGATATGAAACGACTTAGTGCCGCTACTCGCCCATTGAGGCTCATGACCTACTTTTTGTTGGTCGGGCTCTTCATATCGAGGAGAGCTTGGATTTTCTCGGGGTTGATCTCTATTCCCCGTTGGTTAACCATGTATACTAGGAATTTTCCCGAGGATACTCTGAATAAGCACTTGAGGGGGTTTAGCTTCATTTTGTATTATCGGAGGATGTCGAATATCTCAGCGAGATGCGCTATGTAATCTGAAGCGACATGCGACTTGACCAGCATCTCATCTACATAGACCTCTATCGATTTTCCAATCTGTTTGGAAAACATTCGGTTAACCAACCGTTGGTAAGTTGCGCCAGCGTTCTTAAGGCCGAAGGGCATAACTCTGTAGCAGTACAGCCCTCGATCTGTAATAAAGGATGTATGCTCTTCGTCCGGCTCGTACATCAGAATTTGATTGTATCCCGAGTACGCGTCTATAAAACTTAGCAGCTCGTGTCCGGAGGTGGCATCCACGAGCTGGTCGATTCTGGGTAAGGGAAAGCTATCTTTTGGGCATGCCTTATTGAGGTCGGTAAAGTCGACGCAGGTCTGCCATTTGCCGTTAGGCTTCTTTACTAGAACCCGGTTGGCAACCCAGGTCAGATAGAGCGCTTCTCAGATGGACCCATTTCGAAAGAGATTATCTACCTCAAGCTTCAAGGCGACACAACGTTTTAGATCCATCGCTCTCCTCTTTTGGCGAACTGGCTTAGGTTCACTATCGATGTTCAATGCATGGCAAATAATATCTGGGCTGATCCTGACCATGTCTGCATGTGACCATGCAAACACATTGATATTCTCTCTGAGGAAGCTGGTCAGTTCGGTGGCGAGCTGGGGGTTGAGATTGCTCCCAATCCTTAACACTCTGCTTGGCTCGCTTTGGTCGACCGATACTTCCGACACATCCTCAACTGGCCCTAGGTGTGGAAAAAACTGGTTAACCAAACTGGTTAATCGGTAGTTTGAATCGAACCAATTTTTGGTTTCCAAATAAAATTGAACCGAACCGGTCCAGTTTTGATTATAAATCGATTAATTATAATGGGCTGGATTTCAAGATTTTTTCAGCCCAATTTTGTCAAACCCTCCATTTGGCCCATTTTTTTTATTTTTCCAAGTTTTTATTACACTTGAATAATTTGAATTCGTTTTATTGTTTTAATAAGGCCATTATCAA